AATTTTTAAGAGTTTAAAAGTTACTTAATATCAGAGAAGTTTAACTCGGAGTGAAAACTTGAAAGAAAGCTTAAACTGGTGGGAAAAAGTACTTGCAAATAAGACTTGCAGTATACTTGGAGAATGTTTTGACTTAATTTATGTAGAGTCAATAAAAGTGAACTGAGTAATGGAAACTAACTGTGTCGTTGTTTTTGTATTTTATATATATATATATATATATAGAGAGAGAGAGAGAGAGAGAGAGAGACTTTTGACTGTGGGAATAAAGTATGGTCCACTTTGCAACTTATTCTAGCCACGAACCACCGACATAGACAGATCATCCAGCCGGCATGTGACATCCAAAAACTACTTTGTAAACACGGCCTGTAAACCCTGGAATGGAAATTGCATAAATGCAACCAATAAGATTAGCTTGCTGTTTTTGGAAAGTGACAGTTTTGTTTCCAATATGCATCAGACAGTTTGAGACTAACCACAAAGTAACCTTCAACTAGCTCTTACGTGAACTAGATGTATGGTTATAGTCTATGATTGAGCTATAAACTAGAGTTTTCTCACTTGCTCCAAAATTCAAGAGTTACTTTTGCCAGGTTGTTATTTTCATTCTCTTTCATTTTCTCTGTGTTCTTTAAGCCAAGAGAATGCGTCGAGAAACTGAGAGGAAGGAAAGAGGAAAACGACAGAAAGAACCCAAGCCCACCAAGAAGCCCAAGGGTGAGAAGAAGAACAAAGGAGAGAAGGGTGGGAAGAAGAAAGGCAAGAAGAACAGGGAGGAGACCACCACGATCACCACCACCACTGTGGCTCCCACAACCACTGTGGTCACTGAGTATGATGAGGAGTTTTATGACCCTGAACCTGAACAGTACTGGGATGAAGGTTAGAAAAGCCCTTCTCATTAAAAGACTTGATCTTATAGATCTGTGTATTTCTGGTGCAGATTGGAGCAGAACAGTGACCGCCTTGGTTCTGTAGAAGTGCTTTTCCCACTTGTTTTCTCTTAATGGGGATTTCAAAACATTCTTTATAAAGACTCAGCAATCAAACCAACCCGCTCAGAGATGAATCATAACATAGCACACTCTGATTTGATATGAATATCAAATTACATTCTTTTACAAATGAATTAACTCATCCAATGAACCATTGTGAATGGCATACAATATAAAACTGCTGAAATAAGTTTATTGAAAAATACTGTGAGCGTTTGTAGTTTGAGAGATTTGTATGGTAACAGCAGCTTCTCTGATTGGTGGATCTCTCTTCAGGAATTATGGGGAGTGTAGTTCTTCACCCAGAATTCAGCTATTCGTCCATTTAAAAAATAATTAAAATGAAGTCAATTGTGGCTTCCACTGAAGCATATATCATTGTTAAACAACCTTGGAGAACATGCTGCACCTGGAATAAGATCAAGATTTTATTAGTTATTATTTAGAAGTATTGACTTGCATTCACAAAGATTGTTTGGTATCCACAGAATTTCCTGCAGAGACAACAACAACAGCAAATCCCACAGTCCCTCCAACAGAGAAAACCACAGAATTCCCAACAGACTTTCCTCCTGACACGGATGAGTATTCCCCACCTTATCCTGACTCATGTAAGCAGAATATCACTCATGTCTGTGTAAATGAACACCACTTTTGTTCATCATGATCAACATTTCCTTTAACCTATTTTTAGACGATGACTATTGGAAGGTGGATGAACCCACACCTACAACCTCTGTGATCACCGGCCGTCCACCTGATGAGGATGGTGATTACTGGGATGCCAGATGTGAGTCTTCCAGTAATTAAGGTTTTTACATTATGACCTGTAGTTAGTTAGTAATGGTCACAAATGACTGATTGTTCAGCTAATAAACTTATACGTTTATTCTTTGGGAACAGATGAGGTGGCAGAAAACATGCCTTTCCCTGATGGCAAAGAGATCAGCTCTACCGACAATGACTGGCATTACACTACCACAGGTAGACCCATCATTATTTCTAAACACTGTGTCCTATTCGATATAAAATGAGAATAAATGATGATTTATTACATTTTCTTGTGCTACTTCTTTGTTTTACTATTATTGCAGACTGCTGCTACTTACTGTGTCTTAAATTTACATAATGTCCCCATTATGTAATTGTAACTATAATTCTAAAACATGTTAAACACAGACAAAAAAAAGTTTGTTTTAGTAATACATTTGACATTACAAAAGAGTGAATTTAAGCACCCTGTCAATTTGTGTGTGAATCAAATAAAGCTTTTACCACAATATACACCCATCTCATAAAATATCTTGTTTTTACACCATTCAGAATCCACAATGTCTGGTGTGGTTCTTACAAAAGACAGCAGACCAGTGGCGACAGACATTTAGCAAACATTTTATGAGTCATTAAAATTTCTCTCTCAAATTGAACCTGTATTTCTTTTCTTTTCTGTCACAGAAGAGCCCACCATCCCTCCATTTGAAAACAACTGGTATGAAGAATATGAATATGGACATGGTACATACTGCTTTGATACTCTATTTTAAAAAGAAAACAAACCAAGTGAGACGGCATGAGAGGTGTTGGCCTCGGTCTCATCTTAATGAGGGTACAAACAGGTGCCACTTGATGTCAGGCTGAAGATTTTAAGTCATGTTGCCATTAGATGAAAATTATAAATGGAAATATTTTTCCAACCAGAAAATAACTGTTGTCTTGCAGCGTATCTCCTCCCCAACTAAATCTTACTCATAAAACGGAAAGAAAAAACGGTAATACTTTGCAATATGGTTGATAAAATTAGTCAATGAAAAATACTTCAGTAACACTTTACAATAAGATTCCACTTATTAACTATATTTAATGCATTAACTAACAATGAGCATTACATTTAGTTAATAAAAATAAAACTGTTCATTGTTAGTCCATGTTAGCTCGGGTCCATTAACTAACATTAATAGATACTGCTTTTCATATTAATAATGTATTAGTAAATGTTGGAATCAACATTAACTAAGATTAATAAATGCTTTAGAAGTATTTTTCATTGTTAGTTGTTTAACTAATGTGGTTAACTAATGTTTACAAATGGAACCTTATTGTAAAGTGTTACCAATACTTTTAAAGCATTTATTAATTTTAGTTAATATTAATTTCAAAATGTACTAATACTTTATTAAAATCTAAAGTTGTATTTGTTCATATTTTGAGCTAATATGAACTAACAATGAATAGTTGTACTCTTTTTGACTGTTAACAAAGATTATTAAATACTGTAACAAATGTATTGCTCAATGTTAGTTATAGTTAGTTGATGAATTAACTAATGTTAACTTTTTGGACCTTATTGTAAAATACCTTAAGTGCATTTAGATTTTTTTTTTTATCTCTGTTATCGAGATTTACGAGGTAAGATGATATGTGGTGCATGGAGCACTTATCTTAATAAAATTATAATAAGTAACAAAACTCCTGGAGTAAAAACAAAAATGTCACACGTTTCTGATTATGCAGCCAGAGCCTGCTTTTATTAGGGTATAAAAATGGAAATCTGGCAAAAGCTTTGTGGACAATTTTGATTTGATTATCTGATAACATTTTTATCTAACCCACTTAAGTTGTAAATATGACTTTCAGCCAGTATTGTCTTATATATTTTGAATTTAGTATTTGGTTTATCCTCTTTTGCTTTAATGAGGATAGATAGATAGATAGATAGATAGATAGATAGATAGATAGATGTGCCTCAATCTGACCTTTTGTACTAACAAGTTCACATGATCCATGTCATTTACTTGATTAGTGACCTAAAAGCTCAGAATTTGGATTATTTCTTATGTTGTACCTTCTAACTTTTCAAATTCAGTGGTCTCAAACATGTCAAACCTGCTGTACTTGTTTAATGTGTGACACTGAACTGTTATTTAGTGCTTTCACTTATACCGTTGGTTTCTGATTTGTCAACAGAAAGGAAACTGGAAGAGGAGAGGGAAAGAGAGAGAGAAAAAGAAAGAAAAGAGCAAGAGGAAAAAGGTAGTGTTTTATCCTCAAATAAGTTGTCAAGTTTAAAAAGCGCTGTTGTACTAAACATGTAGACACTAAACTGCAGGTACTTACAGATGTACAGACATTCAGAACAACAATACAATTAAGAGGACCATAGCTACCATTCAGTCTACTACAACAACAGTGTAGCAATGTATTGTTTATTCCAGTAAGTGTATTGGTTTTATTCAGATACTTGGACATACAATTCACAAGCAAGATTGTGTACTTTCATTGTATTTGATTCCATTTGTTTGGTTTGTCTTGCGCTGAAACGAAAAAATACCTTACTGATGAAAAACATGAATGTGTTTGGCCAACACTGGCACAGTCCTCATCAAGCCTTTCTATCTTGCCGTCTCCAAATTCTAACTATCTGCACTACAAATTATTTTAATAACACAGTTAGCATGGAAATCACCTCTGCTTTGTCTTCCAGCTGCCCCACAATCTGCTTACACTTGATTATAGACTTTGTGGGAAATTACTGAATGACAAGCATTCATTAACAACTGTGAACCAGACCCTGTTCCCATGAGCTCTGTTTTCAGTTTTGGTTCCTAACAAACTGAACATTTCCTTTTCACTGACCTAAGACAGCGAAGCAGGAAAGTTTTGATATGCAGGATATTGTAGAACAGGACTTACCAACCAAAATTAGAACGCGAACTGAAAAAGTAATGAAGAAAAGTTCCAGGTTCAACAAAAGTTCAGCTCTATTAACAGCATCTGTGGCATTACCACCGAAAATAAGCATGTGGCATCCCTCAATTTGTATAAAGGGGTCAAAGAGAGGAAGTACTGTGTATATTTGATACATTTTAACATGATTTTTCTAAAAAAAAAAAAAAAAAAATTCTGACAGCCCTTATGTGAAATACTACCAATTGTAAACCTAAACTATTTGTTATATTATTTTTATATATAAATGTTATATTTAAGGTGGTTTATGAATGATTTGTGCATGTGATTGTGTGTTTGTAGGCGATTCAGATGACGCTGCTCCTGTGGGATCTTCTCTTCTCTCGTCTACTCCTCCTGCACAGATCTCCCCATTACTGAAAGAAGCATCTCCAACGCCTCCTTCTTCTCCCTCTGTACACATGTCCAGGTACAAACTCACACAGCGCTAGGTGTCTGAGGTCTCTTTAGTCTTCTGTTTTCTCACCTTGTCTATGTGGCTGCAGTTCTCCTGGAGGAGGTCAGGGGGAGCTGATGGGTCTTCAGGTTGATTACTGGATTGCTCTTTCAGAGAGGAAGAAAGACGTGGAGAAGAGAGACTCCAAAAACACGCTCAAGGGCACCTTCCGTTCACTGCAGGTTAGCCGCCTCCCACTGGGCGGAGCAGAGACGACACATCAGCCAACCATGTCCATGACTGTTGTCACCAAAGAGAAGAATAAGAAGGGTAAGACACTGAAACACAATACTTAAAGGTCCCCTGAAGTGCCTTGAAACACGCAGCGTTATTCTATGTGGTGACGTAATTTCAACTGAAACAGGAAGACAGGGCGGGACATATCGAGCAGCCCCGCCCCCCTTTTTAAATTAGCCAATAGCATTTTGTTTATATCTGCACGGGTCAGAGGGAGCCGTTGAGCTCGGTAAAGCCGCATTTGACAGCCACAGTCTAATAGTTTACCCCCTAGATTCAATATGAAACTCTTAGTAAAACAAAATAGTGATCATAATCATGCTGAGGCTGTGTAGTTTTAAAAGTGTTTAATATATGCCGACTCGCGCATATGATCAGCTCCGTGTGATCTCATCTCTGGACCGGAGCCAAAGTCCGGATCAGACTGCGTGCTGCAGCGGTTCGCGTGACACAACGTGAAACCAGACCTCATTTGCCCCAATCGAAAGCATACACTGTACAGGAAATACTACACTGTGAACAAGAGTTGGCGTCTATTTTATAGTGTAGGGGGCGGGCGCTTCGGCTTCTAGAGAGCGTTTGATTGGTCAGAAGATTTGATGAGAAGATGAAGTACGATGTGACGTCAAAAAAATCCTTGAGCCGTTTTGGCGGAAGTGACGAACTAAAAGCTTTGAATGCTTATATCTTCTAAATGCGAATTTTGTCACTGTTTTGGAGCACACTGCCTTATAGATAAGCTTAAGACTAACATATTGATATTAACACCCAAAAAACTTTCATTTTGATTTCATGGGGACTTTAACACAGTGCCATGGTAACAGTTACAGGAACACATTCAGTTTATAAAATGTATTGTGTTGTTGAATAAGCATCAAACACTCTCTCTGTCTCTGTGCTCAGTGATGTTTCTGCCTAAAAAGACCAAGGATAAGGAGGCAGAGTCTAAGAGTCAGGTGATAGAGGGCATAAGTCGACTCATCTGCACAGCCAAACACCAGCAGACCATGCTGAAAGGTGATCAGCCAATCAGAATTCTTCAAAGTAATCACTACAGCTTACAATACAATCAATAAACTGTGCTTATAGGGGTCATATCACAATCGTCATCAGTTTGTTGTGTTATGAAAACATACTGTACCTTTAAGAACTCAAAATTTCCTCCACAGTCCAAAAAGTAACTAAGCTAAAAAAAAAAAAGTGGCACATTTCAGTGCAAACTGTTTTGTGAACCTGCAACAATGTAATTTCAGCCTTTCAAAGACACTGTTATTGAAAGATAGTACAGTTATAAATGTTATTCATATTGCAAACCAGCAGATCATAAATAACAATATATAAATGGACTTTAGAGATTTAAAAATAGTAATTGCACCATCAATTACATTTAATAATTTCAGATAAATTGAATAATATTAATAATGACATTTTTTTTTTTTTATTAATAATAAATTATATACCAATCAACATTTTGGGTTCAGTTTTTTTTTTACATACATCTCTTTATAATTTAGGTATAGATAATGTATAATTTATGTTTGTGGAATTCATGAAACATGGCTAAAGACTAAAGACTGTCGTGTGTGGTTTTGTGTTTCCTCCCTCCAGTGTTGATAGACGGAGTTGAATGGAACGATGTGAAGTTTTTCCAGCTTGCGGCTCAGTGGTCATCTCATGTCAAACACTTCCCACTTGCCATCTTCGGACCCTCCAAAGGGCCTTACTGAACTACAGCCTCATATCTTCACTCCTCTACGCTACGGCTGCCTTTACACTCAGTGCTGCCTCATGTTTTTATTTAAAATTTCTGCTTTCTCACGGTTTGTGTCTGTGCTATTTTTGTTTTTATTTTGTTGACATTTGATTGTTCTTTTATGAAAGACTTGATGCAGTCTTGGCAACAGGGCATAAAAAAAAAAAAAAAAAAAATGATGTATGGATAATCCAGTAAACCTAAATTGCTTCATTACAGTAAATGTTCATCTTTAAACATTACTAACAATCTGCATTATTCTTACATTTTTATTCTTACATTTACTAAAAATCAGCAAAAAGACACATGAACCACAACCTGAGGTTGGACTAACTTCAGTTTTACTAACACTAAAAGGCTTTTTACTTGCTTAAAAAGCAAAGACTGATGCTAACTTATAAAGGACATTATCTTTGATTTGCGAATGCATGGTCAAGATGTAACCTGGAAAACCATTATGTTACTATGATGGGTCTTTGAGCATTTTAAGAAATATAACCTTCAGTTTTACACTGCACAGATCTATATTACATCCTCCCTTCTCTGGATTGTAAAGATAAATGTAAATGGAGCTCCAGAGCATTCCAGAGGCTTGTGAACAGTTTGTCGAAAGAATAGAAAGAATCTGAGTTTAAGATATTTGGTGCCAGATTCATGTGTTTCTTCATGTTTCATTTTAAATTGCTCACCTGATTGTTGTGAAAGGTAATTTTGTTAATTTTTCATGTGTATTTTTTCAACATACGTTCTCTTTTCAGTTTAATGTCCAGAAACTATTAATGTGAGACACTCACATGTTGATTTATATGTGGAGTGTTGCTCTGTGGCACTCTTCAAACATTGCTCTGTTTGTTTGAGCCAAGGAGATTTATATACCGTAATAACTGATGAAAGCTACCTTTTAGCATTCACATTCATCAGAATGTGAATCCACTATTGGAATCATAACAGTTGTAGCTGATCAAATCTTTTTAACCAGTTAGCAATATGCCATGCTAGTGGCCAAGGTGTTCATTTTCATTAATTTGCGCTTTTAGGAATGAAACGTGCACTTGTAAAATACCTACTATAATGAGATAAAACATCTGTAAATGTTTAAATGTTGTTTTAGTTTTTATGTGCTTTTGTCATTTTTATTAGTTTTTTTTTTTTTTTTATATTTCTGGCTAGCTTCATTTTTTATTTCAGTTTTAGTGATTTTATTACTTCAGCTTACCCTTATTTATTTATTTCATTTGTTAGCAATAACAACACTGAATATTATCAGTTAAAAGGACAGTTCACCCAAAAATTAAAATTTGCTATTAATTTACTCACTGTCAACCCATCCAAGATGTAGGTGACTTTTTTCTTGAGTAGAACAGTAAAGATTTTTTTTTTTTTTTGCTGAAACCGTGGTCCTTAATCATTCACATAATGCAAGTCAGTAGTTGCCCAATTTTGAGAATTAAAAAAAAGCATATCAGGCAACACAAAATGAATACCCGTGGCTCCTGACGATGTATGCGAAATGATCGGTCTGTGCAAGAAACTGAATGTTATTTACTACACAATTACCTGTAATCCAGAGCCTCAGACAAACAGTGTGGAGTGATGTCCAGTTCACGAATGAATCATTCTTTTAAACCGGTTCTTTTTAGTGATTTAAATGAACCAGATCACCAAATCATCTGAAATAGTTAGCGGCTCGAGCAGTACAGATCTACAAGTTACTCAAATCAAAACTCACTTTTGGACATTCATGACAGTCACTCTGACTTGAAATGAACCAAAATACTGGCGTATATGGTCTTATGATACTGGTTTTTGCCAACTCGTTCAATAGCCCCTCACTGCAGAACACAAGATCCAGGGGGCGTGGTTGAATCCACATCTAGGGGGTGGAGATGGGTGGGTTTAGGAATCAGGGGGATCCAACCACGCCCCCTGGATCTTGTGTTCTGCAGTGAGGACCATCTCAACTCGTTCAGTGCTCCAGGTTTATTTTTGGGTAAACTATCCCTTTAACTACCAGGAAGCTAAAAGATCAATCTTTATATTTCATGCTCATATCAGTGGTGAACTTTGTGTTTTCTCCAATAATTTGTCTCCTCAGAAAGAGAAGAGAGGAGGTATGAGGAAGAGGAAGAGAGAAAACCCAGGATTCACAAACCTCCTCCACGTGTGTACAGAGAGCCTAAAAGTGAGTGGTGGGGACTGGGTTTAGGCACGTAGCCAGATGGGATCCATCACGTAATAGATAAAATAGAGCAATAAATACACTTGGGACAAAATAACTGTGAAAACAACAAATAAAACACTGACATGCAATAAACTTATATAAGAGCAGTGAAGTGATGTAATACTGAAGTTCTCCCAGCTCTCAGTTCTTCCCAGACAAAGACGTTTCTTAAAGTGAAACCTTGGCATTCAGTTCAGTGTCTTAGATACTAATGCTAAAATAATTAATGCTAACAAACATAACTGAAATAGTGTTATCCTATCTCGACGAAGACGTCATTAGTTTCAAGTGAAAACATTTTGTAAGACTTTTGTAGCTGTTTTTAAGTCATTACAGATGCTGAATCCTTCCAAATCCTGCTCCAATTCCACAGCTGGTTCTTTTCAAAGAAAATGAAACAGATGCATGGATGTAGTCCTTCATCTTCAGGCACATTACGCTGAATCAGGACAAGTGGCAGAACAAATTGTTTTGAAGTTATACATTGTTAAATATAGGTTGTAAGGTATAGTTTTAAGTGAAATATAAGTAATTTGGCTCCAATATAGTTAGTTTCATTATATCTTGATGACACAAGAATGTGTGTATATTCTGTCTATATTGTTTCCATTTATCTTGCTAGTTAAAACTATTATCAATATATATGTACCTGTATATATTTATACATTACCATACAAATTGGTGTCAGTTTTAAAATAATAAAATAGTAGTAATATATTCAAATGATAATGATATAAAACAAAATACATTTTAGAATGACTAAGAACATACAAAAAATATATATAAAGAAAAGGTGTAAATTAAATAAAATAATGTGGTGCAATCAGAAAATTGTAGCACAGTGTTTAGTGAGAAAGCACAGATAAACCAATTTCAGTCTGTACTCCAACTTATTGTGTGAAGGTATAGTCTATATTAAGTTTTTTTTCTCTGGCTTGCATTGTCTGTCAGTATGTCCTCCTCTGGGTATGGAGTCTCATCGCATAGAGAATGACCAGCTACTGACTTCCTCTGTTTATCAACATCGCTATGGCTCACACAGAGCTCGTCTCAATATTCAGGTACAAAAATATGCAGAGACTCACTCTGAAAATTAATACTGGCATGACTGAAATGTATAGAAAAATGTAATGTGGCAATGTCTCACAGGCGTCTGGTGAAGAAGATGATACGAATGGTGGGGCATGGTGTGCTAACCCTGAAGAGAAGGTGCACTGGATTGAACTGGATGCTCGCACACTAACAGAGTTCACTGGCGTTATCACTCAGGGTCGAGATGACCCCTTAGAGTAAGACATACAATAAAAACCTTGTAGCCTATGCACAGTATGCTTACTATAGTATGCCAAACTATCTAAAGTCCACATATACGGTCCTTGTTCTTGTTTTGTTGTTTCAGGAGCGACTATGTGTCTTCTTACTATGTGGCGTTTAGTAATGACAGCAGAGAGTGGACCGTCCTTGATGATGGATATGCTGAATGGGTAGGTTGCCAGATTGTCATCATTTTCGTCTTCTTTTGTTGGTTGCCAAATCTTTCTGTGGTGCTTAAAAATATAGTTCACCCAAAATGTAAAATTCTGTCATCATTTACTCACCCTCAAGGTGTTTCTTTCAGCTGAACACAAATTTTAAGTTTTTGAATAAAACAAGGATTACTGGAGTATGCTTTACTTTACTGGAAAATATCTTTTTATCTGTACATTTCTTCAAAATTTCATGTTTAATTCAACGTGCTACTTGCTGTTTCGGAGTTATTTTGAGTGAAAATTGTTTCTATACATGTGTTACAGTAGGCCAGGCTTAAAGTTCCCCTATTATGCCATTTTTAACATTCCTAATATTGTTTTGGGAGTCTCCTACAATAGGTTTACATGCATGCAAGGTCAAACAACGCTTTAGTTTTCTCAAAATATGCATTTAATATCACCTAATTTTCCAGTGATTCTCAAATGATTCATTTGAAGCAATTCTAAGATTCAATCTCTGTAAACCCCTCCTTTCTGTGAGCCTACTCTGCTCCGATTGGTCAGATGGCCCAGTCTGTTGCGATTGGTCTACCACATACAGCGCATGTCAGAAATGATACGCCCATTGCCATAGTTCCGTATTTTAAATGCTCAATAGAAAATATAAACATCTATTATTTATCATACTTACAGGTTGTGATTCAGTGGAGTCAGCTGGTCCAAATAAATTGGGTACTGAGCCACCTTTAAGAGCAAGTGTTTTGTGAATCCCACGTTGAACTCCCTGAGATTAAAGAAGCAGTCGTCAGTAAAATGTCGTGTTTGTGGGCCGGCCAACGTAGAACGTGTGATGATGTGTAGCCATCACAGAAATGGGATTTGAATTACTAATGACTCGTTCAGGCTGTTCAGAGTCGATTCTTTCTTTGGGAGACAATAACTTTATTGTGCATTTTTGGCTTAACAACTTTGTTGAGTGTTTGCATTCACCTACAGCTAAATTACCCACTGCATGAAAGGCAATATTCGAAATGGCATAATAGGGGCATTTTAAAGTGCAGCACTTTTTAAAAATACATTATTTAATTTCAACAATACAGTTTCTTTTTTGTTTCCTTTCTTTTTGCTCTCAGTTATTCTTTGGTAATTCCGATAAAAACACCCCAGTGTTGTCTCAGTTTATGGAGCCGGTAGTAGCACGTTATATCCGCATCTTGCCACAGAGCTGGAATGGCACCATGTGTATGAGGATGGAGGTTTTGGGTTGCCCAGTACCAGGTGAGAGACTCTGGACCTGTTGATGGTAAACCTGTCTTTATTTTTCTTTTTTTATTTGTTTGTGCATTGTGTGCTGACAAAGTATTTCCTATTACTAATATTCCTGTCTGGATCCACATTGTTTAAAGGGGTCATATGATGCGATTTCAATTTTTCCTTTCTCGGCCGCGCAGTTCTCAGG